CTGTTCTTATCGAATCAACCCCTCCCAACTTTAGTTTTATGAGTCAGGAAAGAACGCATAAGAAAGGGGGTGGAGTTGCTATTCTGTTCAATGATTCCCTTCAATGCAGGAAGACATCGTATGGAAACTTTGATTCTTTTGAATATGTGGCCCTTCGGCTGAAATGCTCCTCTCGAGCTCTGTTCCTAAATATCTATAGACCACCCAAATACTGTGCAAGCTTTTTTGATGACTTTACTGAACTGCTGTCTATAGTGTGTATTGACTTTGACCGTCTAGTCATTGTTGGTGATTTTAACATCCATGTTGACAACCCCCAGGACAGAGGGGCTAAAGAACTGTTTTGTGTTCTTGATAGCTATGGACTGACTCAGCATGTGACGGAGCCCACGCACAATAAGGGGCACACTCTGGACTTAATTATCTCAAAGGGTCTAAATATCTCTAAGGTTGTGGTGACTGATGTTGCACTCTCTGACCATTCCTGTGTTTTCTTTGAGAGCTCTATTTCTGTTCACAAAAATGTTCAAAAAGAGGTAACCACAAAGCGATATTTAACTGAAAACACTAGGGAAATGTTTACTCAGAATTTCTCTTCCACACTTGCCCCTGCCAACATCTCAGTAAATGAGCTAGTAGATCATTTTAATTCAAAAATTAAAAATGTTATAGATGCCATTGCTCCAACTAAGGTAAAGGAAGTGTCTGGCAAGAAAATATCTCCATGGAGAAAGGCCATGACCGTGAAAACAGAAAAAAGAGAATGTCGAAAAGCTGAACGCAGGTGGCGAAAAACAAATCTCCAGGTTCACTTTGAAATCTATAAAGAGAGACTTGGCCTTTATAATTTGGAATTGAAAAACGCACGACAATCGTTCTTCTCTGACATCATTACCAAAAACAAAAACAATGCACGTGCCTTGTTTGCTACCGTCGACAGACTAACTAACCCCCCAGTGTCAGTAGCCTCTGAATTTCTATCCACCAGGGCGTGCAATGATTTTGCCTCCTTTTTCACTGACAAAATTCAGAAAATCAGACAAGCAGTCAGTGCCTCTGCATCAGGAACAGCAAATGTGTTGTCCCTATCTCCACTTAACATCAATTCAGACATCATGACACAATTCCATCAGATTAATGATAAAAACCTAGAGGACATTATTCAACTTCTGAAATCCTCCTCCTGCTGCCTTGATATTATTCCAACAGGATTTTTCAAAGATGTTTTGCCTTGCATGGCCTCAGATCTACTTCATATAGTAAACAAATCTCTTCACTCAGGTATTTTTCCACAGGCCCTGAAAACTGCAGTCATTAAAACCGCTCTTAAAAAAGAATAATCTAGATGCTTCAGTAATGAACAATTACAGGCCCATATCAAACCTGCCATTTCTAGGTAAAATCATTGAAAAAGTTGTTTTTCAACAGTTGAGTAATTTCTTGCATTTAAATAACTGTTTCGATGTGTTCCAGTCAGGCTTTCGTCCAAACCACAGCACTGACACTGCTCTTGTAAAGGTCTTTAATGACATCCACTTAAACACAGACAGTGGCAGAACTTCAGTGTTAGTATTATTAGATCTCAGTGCTGCGTTTGACACTGTGTTGACCACAGCATATTACTAGACCGACTGGAGAACTGGGTGGGACTTTCGGAAACAGTTCTGAATTGGTTTGAATCCTACTTAAAGGACAGAAACAACTTTGTTTCTATAGGTAAATACACATCTGAGTTGACAAATATGACATGTGGGGTTCCTCAAGGCTCCATCTTGGGGCCTCTTCTCTTTAACATCTACATGCTACCACTGGCTCAGATAATGAAGAACAACAAAATAAGTTACCATAGCTATGCAGATGACACACAAATTTACGTAACAATTTCACCAGGAGACTATGCTCCAATTCAAACACTGAGTAAGTGCATTGAACAAATCAATGACTGGATGTGTCAGAACTTTCTCCAATTAAACAAAGATAAAACTGAGGTAATGGTTTTTGGAGCCAAGGCAGAACGTATAAAAGTTAGCGCTGAGCTTCAGTGTGCAATGTTCAAAACAACAGATAAAGCCAGAAATCTAGGTGTAGTCATGGACTCTGACCTGAGTTTCAACAGTCACATTAAAACAGTTACTAAATCAGCCTACTATCACCTAAAGAATATATCTAGGATTAAAAGACTAATGTCACAGCAGGATTTGGAAAAACTTGTCCATGCTTTTATCTTCAGTAGACTCGACTACTGCAATGGTGTCTTCACAGGTCTCACTAAAAAATCTATTAGGAAGCTGCAGCTGATTCAGAACGCTGCTGCTCGAGTCCTCACTAACACTAAGAAAGTGGATCACATCACTCCAGTTCTGAAGTCTTTACACTGGCTTCCTGTGTGTCAAAGAATAGATTTCAAAATACTGCTGCTGGTTTATAAAGCACTGAATGGTTTAGGCCCAAAATACATTTCTGACCTCCTGCTAAATTATGAACCATCCAGATCTCTCAGGTCTTCAGGGACTGGTCAGCTTTCTGTCCCCAGAGTCAGAACTAAACATGGTAAAGCAGCGTTCAGTTATTATGCTCCAAATATCTGGAACAAACTCCCAGAAACCTGCAGGTCCGCTGCAACTCTGACTACTTTTAAATCCAGGCTGAAGACTTTTCTTTTTGTCGCTGCTTTTAATTGAACTATTCATATCTTAGACTGCACTGTAACTTTTATCCATGTACTTTTTTCTTTTAATGTTTAATTGCACTGTAACTTTTATCCATGTATTTTTTCTTTTAATGTTTATTTTATTAGCTTTTCTTTTTAATGACTGATTTTAAATGCCATTTTCTTAATCTCTTTCATTTTTTGTAAAGCACTTTGAATTGCCTTGTGTTGAAAAGTGCTATATAAATAAACTTGCCTTGCCTTGCCTTGCCTTGCCTTCCCTATTTGTTTGCTAGTGGTCTTCTTCTTCACAACCTTTCTTGGCACATTGCTGTGCTTCATTTCCATTACCACCTGGCGTAGCCTGAGGACAACATGTGAAATGTGCTACATGCGTGCTTGCACAAAAATCTGCTCATATTTGGGCATTAAACCAAAACAACAATTTAGAGTTGCTACATAGCGCAGGTTAACAATTCGACAGGGCACATTTAATTTGGTATGAAAGACAAAGAAAAAGGGACAATCCTGTGCTTCATTATATGATGCCCTTTTGGGAATTTGATACCAGAGAAATTCAATTAAAGTGCGACAAAACCACTTTAGAGATGACCTTGGAAGAAGTCCAGGTCAGAGATGCCACATCAGAAAGACGGACAGCAGCCTCCTGATGTTTGTTAACTTCTTGTAAAATTACAAAAGTTCTGTTCAATGAATATGTTACCATTTTTATATTGTGTTTAACAAAGAGCTCCGCTGAAGCCTTTTGTTCTTCACCAACCGTGTTGCGATGAGTCATCAAACAAGACTGATAATGATCACGGTTCTGGAGGCAGTTTAGGGCAAGTGTATTCAACAATATATGAGACATCAGAGGTGAGAAGTTTTAGATGTGGCTTTGGGCTCAAATGTTGTAATTTAGAAGCTATGAGTCTTTCTATAACTGTGACAATTGAGGGAACAAAGCTTATTTCCTTTTCAACTGAAAGACATGTCATGTTACATACAGTATATCATACATTTGGGCAGGAACCTTAAATACCAAAGTTGGCAATTTGTAACAATGACTCACCATTACTAAAACTGACTCACACATTGAGTCTAGCTATACTTCCTTTTTTCTGCTGCTGCTGAAGGACCAATTGACGATCTTTCAAACCACCTTTTAAGTCTAAAAGCTGTAAATATTTGATACTTAAAATATGTATTTCTTTATGAAGTATTCAGTTTTAGTGTTGGGGATTCAAGGTTTTTATTCAACATGCAATTTTAATACATATTACTCCAGAGGAAAAACATCAAATGTTCTCCTGTGCTTTACTTAAGCGTTTTAATGCAGCATTTGGATTAACATGTGTGTTTAACTAGTAGAAATTACCTTGTTTAGTCAAGTGCACACCTGTGAATTTGAATGTAAACCATGTACACATCATCACAAATATCCACATCAATTCATTGTTTTATTTAATTAATGTCAAATAGAAATGTTCATATGCCAAATGAACAACACAGCCAATACATTTCAAACATGCATTAAAGCCCAAGGTTTCAACACTTAGAATATAAAAACATTTTAATGTACAAAAATAAATAATGAAATTGGAATAGCATTTGGAAATGATGGTCCGCATCCTGTCCTAACATCCACACGTGGTTTCACTGGCCTGTACCTTGAGATATAAACATATTATTTAAAAAGCTCAAGTGCAACCATCAAGAGAAAATGTATGAAACATCAACACGTGCTTTTGAATACTGGTCACTTATTAGAGATGAAGGAAGGATATGATTGCAACTACAAACAATATCGGTGAAGATTGAACCTGAATATGTCATGCCACTTAAAGGTGGGGTAGGTAAGTTTCAGAAACCGGCTCGAGATACACTTTTTGTTATATTCCATGGAATGCTCTTAACATCCCGATAGCAATGAATATCTTAAGTGCTTTGACAAAAAATCCATAAAAAAACGTCATCTGTGCCTCTGATTGCCGCCCTGTCTGTCAGCCTTCCATCTCGTGGACGCACAAATGTATCTCGTGCCCTCATTGGGCATGCATTGCAGCAGTACTTCAATGACTCGCCAGCAACAGGCGGCCACTTTCACCAGTCTGGCCTGCTGACGTCATGTGCGCGTCCATGTGTGTTGGAGGAGGTGCTCTGTAAGGAAGTCTGAAGGAAGGGGCGGATTCTTTTCGGCTGTGTACTTTCAAATTTTAGTGCACTCGAGCCGGTATGTCATTTATTTCAGAAACACTTTTTGTTATATTCCATGGAATGCTCTTAACATCCCGATAGCAATGAATACATTAAATGCTTTGATAATAAATACATAAAAAAATGTCATCTGTGGAAGCCGTAGCGCTGTAAAAAGCACGACCAATCATCTGAGCCGGCCCGACTAAAATAACTGGATGGCCTACCTGCCTGTCAGCCTTCCATCTGTGCACAAACTTATCTCGTGCCCTCATTGGTCATGTGCGCGTTCGTGTGTGTTGGAGGAGGGACTCTGTAAGGAAGTGGCTGGTTTCTCCAAAATTACCTACCCCACCTTTAAGGTCGATTGGTCAAGAACTGCAGACATGTTTTAAATCTTTTATCATGTAAAATGCAACACATCCAATCAGAGAATATAGGCGTTATACATTTAGCTAACCAGTCCATGTGGATAGCAGCTACTATAAAGCCCACCAGCTCTATCTATCTATCTATCTTTCCCATACAGATGCACTTGTTTATCACTGTAGAGGAAGTGGAACATAAACAAGGCAATTATGGAAAGTGCATTCCTTTTACAAATGACGAGTTTTGGCACACACATAACAGATTATAAAAACCAAATATCCAACAGTGAAATACAAAATTCAGCACTTTCTCTTTGGTTACAAACAGTAAAACATTATTTATAAGCATCAATATTTACTGAAGAACCACACTGACTGGTTCCACGGTACACGGTCCTCAGGAGTCCACTTTGCCGTACGTCCCCTCCGGTGGGCGGTAACATTTGGGAAAGGCCATCAGCTGCAGCATGTTGAAGGCATATTTCCTGCATCTAATATTCTTTTGAACGTTTTCAATCCGACATCCTTCTCTGCATGGCGACCAAATAATGATGGCGAAGAGGAGTGAGGTGGAAAAAAAATAAAATAAAGGAAAACAAAAAAATAAAAATGAATGAATGAGTTTTTTAAATTATGTTGATATCATTCAAGTTTCCATACAGCGTGTGATGATAAAGATGGACACAACATATAATTTAAGTTTATCTTTGAAGAGGATGACCTCCCGAATCACTGATATGTGCTCCTTTTAAAGTATTTACTTGGATGTTTATTAGGCCAACACATTTGAATGATTACAGAAAGGGAATTTGGCCCATGGTGAAGTAAACCCTTCCAACAAGTTTCAGTGAGCCAGGAGTAACAACTTAAGCAAGAAAGGAGCTAAATAAACTTGAGTTCTCACTGAGCAGCTACTGTATTTCTAAATTACTTTATTGGTTGTTGTTGTTGTTGTTGTTGGTTACGCCGAATCCCTCTGCATTATCTTTCTTTCATGGTTGCTGTCTTTACTTAATAATTTCACACAGGCGCATCAACTTAGAAATGTACACAAACACCTTGTAAACCTGCTAACCAATCAGAATCCAGAATATAAGTAGCATTCTGTATGAAATGTTTAATCTAATCTTTGGAATAATATTTCATTTTACTGCACTTGCCAACTGACTTTATCTCTAGACGACTGTTCACACTCAATATGTTCTTCCTTCACCCAAAATAAACAGATTATAACACATTCAAGTAAAATAAGAAAGACTTTTCCTGTTTATAATTTTTGAAATACTTCAGAGGATTGTGTGAGTAATCGCATGAGATCATTTTATATTGAAGTTATTATATTGAAACTGTGGGTCATATAAATACATACAACTAGCTTTCAGCCAAGACCCAGCTCATGTATTCAGGTTTTAGTAGTTGGGAGTGAAAATAAACTGTATGAACTCAGATCTACTAAAGCTTCAGACGTATATCAAAGATTACATATTTGTTTTGAAAGCATATTGTGAGATGCAAGAGCCAGATGTCCAGATTTCCAGAAACAAGTCAAGTGAACGTTTTCTGTTCAAGTGAAGTGAGTCCAATCATATTTTATTGAAAGATGCAAGTCACTATGTGTGTGTGTGTGTGTGTGTGTGTGTGTGGCCTAGCATTACTATTCTTGTGGGGACCTACATCTGTTTACACAGTCACGTGTGGGGACTCGCCTCCCTTATGGGGACACAATGGAGGTTTGGAGACTTGGTAAGGGTTAGGCATGTGTTGGTTATGGTTAAGGTTAGGATAAGTCTCCAGGAAATGCATATAAGTCAATGTAATGTCCCCTGAAGTGATGTATACATGGTATGTGTGTGTGTGTGTTTGACGGTATGTTTTACGACGGTTGTATTTGGTATATTTTAGCAACAACTGCAATGATTTTAAAGTTGTTAATCTGCATTTTAGTGTTGAAAATCCAATGGAAAAACTGCTCTACTACATATGAAATGCAATTGAATACAACGCCTCTACCGCAACTATGTTGTACAAATACGTCAGTGCATCTGCAACATGTTCACAACATATCATTAATATAATGAGCTTCAAACATGTGGTTTGTCCTGTGAGGCTTAACCGTTTTTATTGGATAACAACACCATGTTAAAGCAATAAAAGCAGCATGTTAAGGGGATGATGGGAAGTAGTAAAAAGTAGAACCATAAAAGTTGATTTAAGGATGTTTTCTCCTATTGTGGAGGTGGATCAATACATAACAGTCCTGCAGACTCACAAAGTCCTTCAAGGGTCGGTTCATCTAATCATTAATTGAGGGGATTAGTGGGCATTAGCCTGTTTATAACTGAAGTGTGACATGCTGCTGTTTATTAACTATCTACAAACTAAATGCCATTCACCCATAACACATTTGGGATGGAGAAGTGTAGCCATGGAAATGGCATCACCTCTCTGTTAATCTGCCCTGCTTTATATGCCAACTGATAAGATGTCAATGTCTTTCTATGTCATTTGATAAAGGGTTGAATAAGTGGCGTAGAAAAGGGAGTGTATTTTCCCTAGCCAGTAATCGTGACTCTAGGAGGCAGAGCATTAACTGCACTATGATCTTCTAAACTACGAGTGACCTTCATAACCTGCGTATGGGAACAGGTGTTCAAACATGTAACTTCAGGAGTTAGAATAGATTTCTGAAGTGGCAGAAAGAAAGAGCATGATGCACCGCAGCTTAAAAAAACACATACACATTAATTCATTATTTTCATCTATTAGACAAAACACACGTTGTATTCACATAAATTGTTTGCTTTGCACTGCATTTTCTTAGAGCTTTATATATGTCAACCAGTGGCGGCCGGCCCATAGGGGTGCTAGGGGCGCCGCCCCCCCCTCTTCCCACATGTTTGATTCAGAGCTGGTTTGATTGTCATTAAAAAAAAATTAAAAAAAAAAAATATTTTTAATTTTAATTTTTAATGAACAAGGTACATATGATATAGTTGGTATCAGTAAAATGTATTATCTACAATAAAATCTCGTTTAAAATTGTGTTACAATGTCTAAAGTTACTGATAAGTCACATGTTTCCTGCCTGGCCACAGCGTGTGTCATAACGGCCCGTCTGAAGCTCGACCAACAACCTATCACATGGATCTCCCGCCCCTGACACACAAGCAGCGGTTTGATTGGCTAGAGCTTTTACTGGCATATGATTCGATTGGCTGACGCTTCTGCAGAGGCTTCAAAAGTAACTGTAAAAAAAAAAAGTAACATTGCTCAACTTTTGCAGCCTGAAACGCCAGGAAAGCTCCGCTCTGCTTCCCACAATGCAGTTCGGCCAAAGGTGATGTCACCCCATTCAAAGTGAATAGAGTGGCGAAGTCACGCCCATCTACTTCCGGTCCATGGGACCTTATTTAGGAAAAATAATGTATTGAAGTCAATGGAGAGAAAACGTATCTTTCGATCCCGTTTGAATTGTGCCACGAATTACACATATGATGTTTCTCAATCTTAAAAAATAATTTCCACGTCAAAAAAGTCACAGTTTGTCGTAAAACTGTTGAAATATAAGACTATGAAGAATACGCAACTAGAAAGACTACAAATCCCAGAGTGATGTCACAATTGTTTTCCTCCACTAAGAGATAGCTAAGATCAGCGCCATATTCTTTCACACACAGTGACGTCACGAGCTACCCACAATGCAACGTGCGCCATATATATATATTAGGGCTGTCAGTCGATTAAAATATTTAATCGCGATTAATCACATGATTGTCCATAGTTAATCGCGATTAATCGCAAATTAATCGCACATTTTTTATGTTTTAAATTTACCTTAGAGGAATATTTTTCAAGTTTTTAATACTCTTATCAACATATGAGTGGACAAATATGCTTTATGCTAATGTTTATTATCATTTGAACAATGACAAATATTCTCATGAATATTAAACACAACAACCTCTGAACATTACAAATATTCGCCTCAATTCAACCTGGAACCTCTCTCATACAATAATACAATACAAATGGTGTGTGTGTGTGTGTGTGTGTGTGTGTGTGTGTGTGTGTGTGTGAGAGAGATGGATCGTTGGAGCTATGTGCAACTCAAGGCATATGCTCGAACGGGAGCTGCCTGGACGCTGCAATCATGTTGCACTATCCGTGCTGAGTGTGCTGACTTCTCGTACAATGTCCCACTGTCTGGCTTCCTGCATAAAGTCAAGTGCTCGGCGCAGTTGTCGGCAAAATGTCGCTCCTCTGTTTTCATTTAAACAGCTCCTTATATCCGTTAGCGCAGCTAGCTAGCACCAGATGCTAACAACAACAATGCACGTAAGGTCTCTCTCTCGCTCGCTCGAGCACTGCCACACATACACACACCCTCCCGGTCCTCCCAATAGCCAGTCGGTGCCTGCCGGTGAGCGTGGAAGTGTGGTCTGCCACAAGCGGACGGCAGGAGCGGGGCTGTCAGCATCAGCTTGTAGATGGTATTTTAAACTCGATGCGCTCTGAAACTACGGGGCGGCCGAGGAAAAAAAATACACATGTGTTAATCACGTTAAAATAATTAGTGGCGTTAATTTTTTTTGCGTTAACGCGTTAACTTGACAGCCCTAATATATATATAAATACGCCATTTTTCTGGAGGTGCAAAAATCCTGGAGGTGCTAATATAAACAGCTAGCTAACATAGCCAGGCAGAACGCACTAGGTTTTTTTTCTGAATTAACGACCGAAGAAATCGCTGCATGTCTTCGGATTACATCTCTGGACTTGAGGGGTGTGCTCTAGGTCGTTACCAGCGTAAACTAGAGCTGTGTGGGTTGTCGGATTGCCCTTACATACTGCCTGCAGATGTATGGAAAAACGATCCTCGAAAGTGGCCTTCGGTCGATTTTGGCAGCATCTACGTCTATCTTCTGGAAACACCAGGTGAATACCCCACTTGTCACAATAATATTATCATGCCAATGCATATATGTGGTATTTTAGAGTTGACTATATTGATTAAGGCAATAGACTATGATATTCTGCTTGCACCTCGTGTGAAATGGCGGATACCGGATGTACGGTGTCGCCCTCAGCCCAAAACCCGTGTGTGTGAAAGAATTGATATAATCTATCTATATGGCGATTTAACAAGATGCCTGTGTGCTTAGTACCAGGTTGTTATCATACCAGCAATGGGTCTTGCTCGTTCTTTCGCTTCCCATCTGATGAAAGGACCAGAAGTGGCTGGATCAAGTTAGCTACCTAGCTAGTAGCTAGCACGTTAGTTAGCATTACAGCCTTGTCATTTTTATTAGCCTTAATATGAAGTAACATTAAGTAACCCAAAATGTTAAACAGTAAGAGTAGTAGTCATATTTCGTGAACCCTTGGAAGAGTACTGTGTGATCGGTGTGATCATTCTATAATACACAATTTAAGCCCGGGGGAGAAATGCTAACGCTAGCATCGGCGATCGCCGATCTTTTCTACTTCATGCTATCTGCACAAATGGTTGACATTAAACATTAAAAAGATC